TCTGACTTCCCCCCTCTCCTTGCCTGCAAATGGTCTCTGTCTCTCTCTCTCTCAAGAATAAATAAATATTTTTTAAAAAATTAAAAAAATAAAGGGAAGAATATTTCATTGTTCATTTTTAACATCTAACAGATAAAGAATAAATATGAAGAAATACATTTTTCTCATATCTCTTCCCAATTTGTTAAAATTAATTAAAAGCTTTTAATTCTGAAAGAATTCAATGTATATATTTCTGATAAACTGCATAAAGAAATCTCAGTGGGAAAAAGGAAAAAAGAAAGAAAGAAAGGAAAGAAGGAAGGAAGGAAGGACGGAAGGAAGGAAAGGAAGGAAGGAAGACTCTCCTGGAGGAATCCAGGAAGAATTTCCTTAATTGATTAAAAAAAAAAAAAAAACTGGCCCTCAACTCAAGAAATGAATTAAGAATGTCCATACGTTAAGGCGCCTGGTGGCTCAGCGTCGGTTGGACGTCCGGTCAAGCTCAGGTCAAGATCTCGGGCGGTTCCGAGAGTTCGAGTCTCCCCGCTGTCAGCTTCTGTGCTGGACAGCTCAGAGCCTGGAGCCTGTTTCTCCCAGGCTCCCCTCTCTCTGACCTTTCCCCGTTCATGCTCTGTCTCTCTCTGTCTCAAAAAATGAATAACAGCAGTTTTTTTTAATAAAATAAAAATTAAAAAAAAAGAATGTCCATAATGCAATTACATTTATTTGAAAAGGTAAATATATGTTTAGGAACCTATGGGGCTGAGAATTAAGGATGGGAGTGGAGGGACACAAAGGTCAACTCTCATGTAGTGTTGGTAGGAATGTAAGTTGGTGCAGCCACTGTGGAAAACAGCATAGAGGTTCCTCAAAAAATTAAAAATAGAAATACCATATGATCCAGTAATTCCACTACCAGGTCTTTACCCAGAGAAAATGAAAATACTAATTTGAAAAGACAGATGCACTGCTGTATTTACTGCAGCATTATTTACAATACCCATGATATGGAAGCAACCATATAGATAGGTGAATGGAAAAGGAAGATATGGGATATATGTACAATGGAATATTATGCTGCCATAAAAATTAGATCTTGCCATTTGTAACAACATGGATAGATCTTAGAGGGTATTATGCTAAGTGAAATAAGTCAGACAGAAAAAGACAAATACCATATGATTTCAGTTATATGTGGAATCTAAAAGACCAAACAAAAAGCAGAAATGGACCAAATACAGAGAATAAACTGATGGTTGCCAGAGGGGAGGGTTGGAGAGGGATGGGCAAAATGGGCGAAGGGGAGCCAGAGATACAGGCTTCCAGTTATGAAATGAATAAGTCATGGGAATAAAAGGTACAGCATAGGGTTTATGATCAGTGATACTGTAATAGCATGGTATGGTGACGGATGGCAGCTACACTTGGGGTGACCACAGCATAGTACAGAGAAGTTGAATCACTATGTTGTACACCTGAAACTAAGGTAACATGGTGGCAACTATATTCAAATTTTAAAAATTAAAAATTACCTAATTAAAAAGGAAAAGCACACAGTGAAAAAACAGTGTTTAAAGGCTGAGTCAAAAAATAACTAACACATAAGTGAACCCTATAAACTTTTCAGCAGCCCTATCCAGCTATCAAAAGCCCGGTTTGGTGGGGTGGCTGGGGGGCTCAGTTGGTTAAAAGCTTCGGACTCTTGATTTTGGCTTGGGTCATGATCTCACGGTTCCTGAGTTCGTGGAGCCTGCTTGGGATTCTCTCTCTTCCTCTCTCTGCCTCTTCCCTGCTCATGCTCTCTCAAGATAAATAAATAAAACTTAAAAATTTTTAAAGCCCAGTTTGATAAGGTAATATCAAGTTAAACTTCTATTCCCAATGAAATACTGCTCATTGCTCTGCCAATATATATATATATATATATATATATATATATATATATATATATAGTTCCTACTTACATAAACTACCTCAGCAAAACAAATAAAAAGGATTAGAAAGGAAAAGAGTATCATAAATTTCTTCTAGATCTGGTACTCATTCTCCTAAGCCTACTCTGATATTTACATCAAACCCATTAACAACCCCTGCTCATAACAAGAAAATAGTAATAAAGCATAACATTTTTTAATGTTTATGGCAGTAGACATTAATTATGTATCACATTATGGACGATTATTTCAAATCCACAGCAAATAGGACAATACAATAGGACAGGACCTAACAAAATCGACTGCCCTAATGATCTTAACCATGTCAAATGGTTAACCAATGACAACAGAAGTATTTCCCAGTATAAACCTGTGTCTTTTTTTTCTTCATTATCATTATCAAAATCACGGTTCTACCAAACATACCTTGTAATAAGTCTTTAATCTTTCAAGAGGGCCAATAAGGCCTAATGACAGCTGTACAAGAAACCAAGTAAAAAGACACAAGCCCTTACCTTATTTAGCTGCTAATTCAGGAGACTGCAAAGCCCTAAATCTGTTTATCTTACTCTTCCTAGATAAAAAGGAGCAAGGTCCCTCTATGGCCCCATCTTCACCATTAATGAAAACACTTCCGCTTTGACCATGCACTTTCCAAAATGGCATCTCTCCAAAATAACAAGGGAGAAATCTATCTCTCTGTCTCCCCCATCCGCCCCCCACCCCGAAGGCACCAGGGATCAAGTAAGTTTCAGAATACTGTTCTTTATCAAAATTAGATAGGTCACCTTCCTTCAGGACTTTCTAAAGCCTTTAATCCACAAGTATGTTTAAAATTCTTTACCATTTAGCTAACATCTTGAAAAAGGCACAGTAGATGGGAAAATGTACTGGGAAAAGTTGAGAAACACACAGCTTTGAAATATTAGGCTACATCAGGGCCAAAGAGGGAGCACAGTATGGACAGTAAATGGATTTATCAGCTTTGTAACTTTGGACAAATTACTTAACCCTGTGCCCCAGTGCACTTAATCTGTAAAACGGGTGAAACAGTACCAATTTCCTAAGAGGGATGAGGATTAAATGAGATGACTTCTAAAACCCTCCGAACCAAGCCTGACATAGAGTAAATACTCAATAAATGTTAGCTACTATTTTTGTTACCTATTTTGCAAGGTTATTCTAAGCATAGACATACCCATAATTTACACAACTTAGTAAGCAGTAAGCACTCAACAAAGGTCATTTGGCTGAACACACATAAAATCCTGCTCACAGTGCCTAGCACAAACTAAATCTGAATTCACAGGCACAGTACTGTACTGACTGTGCTATGATTATATGTTATTAAGAGTATAGGATCTTAACCATTAATAAAAGCACTGCTCCTTTGCTTATAACATTTCACCATGAGACTACATCTCCCTAGTACGGTAACAATGAAGATACCCGACCCTTGCCCACTGCCAAAAGAGTAACAGAGGTCAAATAAGTTTCAGAACTATTGTATTGCCAAAATTACATTTCTTTTCTTCAGAACCCAGAGGCTTTAGTATGAATCTTGAATCTTCAACCAGGAAATATACTGTTCCCAGATGAATTCACTAAGCAGCTCTTGGGCAACAGCTCTGTGGAACACAGAATGGAAACTACCCTAAATTAATGGAAAAACAGAAACAGCATGTAAAGCTGTTGCAAACCATTGTGCCTAGAGCAGTGCCCGGTACATCGTAGGGTTTTAACAGACTTTTGTTGTACAAAACGAAAAGGGGTCAATGTACTGTAACAGTTCCCAGACATAGTTGATTGTGGAATCTGGAACCTTGTTTTTTGTTTGTTTGTTTGTTTGTTTGTTTGTTTTGAGGACCACCTGTAGGACTAACTGTGCCAAGAAACACGCTTGGAAAAATGCTTCCCTGTGGAAACACAGTCCTATTAATGAACACGAACTAACCCAAAAGAATCGAGCTTAGCATTCCCACTAACATGGATTGTTACAGGAGAGATGTTCTACCTATCTGAAAGTCTGTATGTTCACCTCAACAGGTTATCTGTCATCCACTTGCTCACATGCAACAAGGCAGAGCCTAATAACAGTATTCACACATAGGTCTCCACTTATGTAACTCCCCTCAATTCTCCTTTTTTTTCCCCCTAATATCTCCAAGGCAACACTACTAAAGGAAAAGCTGGGAAACCAGCTTTTACTAGAAGCACTGACAAACTGCCACAGCTCTGCTCCTCTTCTCCCTTTTTCTCCAGGAACTACCTGCCACCTGTGTTGTTCCTCTCACACACAGTATATGGCCATCCTCATTCTCTTGATTTAATCTCTCACTTCATTTAAGAGAATGAAACTAAACTAGCACTGTAGTTTATTTAAGGTCTTTTAATCAATGCCATCATTCCTTCTTTCAGGGAAACTCTTTTCCCATCCCTCCCTCCTAATAGTAAATGTATCTCTTCCCCTCCTAGATTCTCATTTCTCTAACTTTGCATTACCTGCCTCAAATTGCACTCATGTCCGAGAATCAAAGCCTCCTTCACTCCTGGGCAACAATCTTCACATGAAGTGGGAGGATCACAACGTTTGATCCAAATAACAACAACAACAACAACAACAACAACAACAACAACAACAATAAGGCAACTGTTTCAACAAGAGGTGAGAAGTTACAGATCTTTATACATAATTGTTTTAGAAATTAATAACGCACACGCAGAGAACTTAAGAGCCCATCCATATGAAAGTATAAACGAATCATCAAAGTTCTGCACCAAAGTGAAATTCGGGACTTTTAAGTGTTCCTTTAAGGGACGCGTAAAGGAAAGGAGCTGCTTAAGTTTGAGGAGGGGGCGGTTCTGGCACAGCACTCGGGGGTTCCGTGGGGACGCGGGGACGCCGCCGGCGGGGAGGTGCCGGTCACGGCTCTAGGGGATCTCGCGCCAGATGCCTGTGCTGACCACACGATCAACTTCGCCCCGGGCCTTTCACCCCGGAGCCCCCACGGGGCGGCCCCGGGACCCCCCAGGGCCCTCTGCCTCTCGCCGGGATCCACAGGGCTGACGGGGTCCGGCCGGTACCTGGTCATAAGGGGACTTCTCCAGCATCTGCGTGCATAGATCCGCGCAGAGCTGGAACTTCCTGCGCCTAAAATAGCTCCAGGCCAGGAGCAGCGGCTCCATCTCCGAGCCCATGGCGGCCGAGGGCGGCCCGCGAAGGACCGGGGCCGGGGCCTGGGAGGGCGGGGTCGAGGAGCAAGAGGCGTCCAGCTCTGCCCGGCAACGCGCGGAGGCAGGGGCCTAGCCTGAGAGGTGCCCGCATCGCGCCTGAGAACAGGAAAAAGAAAACCCACCACGAGTCGAACTCAGCTACGAGGCTTGTCAAACCTTGGCTGCAGAAAGTGTATACTTTTAAAAGATACTTATTTCATTAACCTCGAGAAGAAGGCACCATGGCTAAATTAAGAGGTAGTGACTTAGACACCTCCGACTGGGGTCCTCCACCCTCCCAAAGGAGGACCGGTTGCCTAGCAGCGAAACGCTCTGCTTCCTCTGCTAGTCTGAGAAAAATCCCAGGTGTTGACCCTACAACGGGTGTCCTACTTTTCCTTGCACGCTTTCCTGCCCCTATCATTTATCCTTCCAATTCTAGAAACACAAACATGAGACCAGTTTCTTCAATACCATACTGCCCACCAGAACCCAAGGATTCTAAAAGCCCTCAACAAATCTCAGTGTTCGAATAGAAAGGGGTATTGGATACTGCTTAGTCCTATTGAGGCATTTTACAGATGAAAAACTGAGATCGGCTCAGAGAAGAGAAATTATTCACCCAAAGTCGCATGAAGTTAGGGAGCGGGACTGTAATCTGGGCTACAGATTAGACTGTTACAGATAGGCTGTTAATGCCGCTATTATACAATGCGTAAGGATTCTGGATTACAAATTGGTGACTTTTTTACAAACAAAATAACATAACACACAATTTTACAAAGGAGCTTTTTGAAATGCCATCTCCAACCGCTTGCTGTTTGTCAAATGCTTACTTGTGCGGAATGATTTCTTTAGGCACAATTCTGACTTCTCTCTAGAGATTTACACAGATATGAAAAAAGAAGTGTGACTGGGCTAAATCTAGGTAGACTTCGTTAGGAAGGGTATCTTTTTTCCTTGCCTCTTTCCTACCACAGTGGGAGAGGCAAGAGAGGAAAAATAACTTAATACTGAAGAACTTTCTGGTCAGGTCTAAATCTCCTTTTACAGATAAGAAACAACAACTCTTAGCAAAAATAAATCACTCACAGTTTTCTCAAACCACTAGGGTACCATAATGCAGACATTATATTTAATCCCAATATTTATATATTTCATGAATATCAAAATAAAACTACCTTTCTAACCTGACTAATGGGTTGGGAGTAGTTTTCTTCTTACTAAGCAGTATTTCTTGTATTTCTTGAATTTTTGCTTTTCAGAAGCAAATAGTAATCAGGGTTTTTTCTTTTTTAAAAAATGTTTATTTATTTTGAGAATGAGAGAGAGAGCATGAGTGAGGAAGGGACAGAGAGAGACAGGGAGAGAGAGAATTCCAAGCAAGCTTTGTACTGTCAGAGCAGAGCCCTATGCGGGGCTCAATCCCACTAACCATGAGATTATGACCAGAGCCAAAATCAAGAGTCAGATGCTCAACCAACTGAGCCATCCAGGTGCCCCTATCCAGGTTTTGATTATTACAGTTATGTTTATTGTAATTAGTCCATTTTTGTTTCCCTCAAAGTGCTTCTAGAAATGTATTCTGTCCTAAGACAATAGCCTGTTGTTTCTGAGAGTCAGGTTGTAGGACTCTACACATGCTGGCAATTGCAATTGGGCTCAATATTTCTTTTCTTTTTTTTTTTCAACGTTTATTTATTTTTGGGACAGAGAGAGACAGAGCATGAACAGGGGAGGGGCAGAGAGAGAGGGAGACACAGAATCAGAAACAGGCTCCAGGCTCCGAGCCATCAGCCCAGAGCCTGACCCGGGGCTCGAACTCACGGACCGCAAGATCGTGACCTGGCTGAAGTCGGACGCTTAACCGACTCCGCCACCCAGGCGCCCCAAGGGCTCAATATTTCAAAAGACTTTTTGTTTTCTGATACAATGTTGCTATGTAAGTGAGTCTCAACTCCAGCTCCATATTAGACAGATTTTTAAATAAAATTTTTATTTTAAAACAGATTTAGATTTATGAAAAAGTTGTAAAGAGAGTACAGAGAGTTCCCATATATGCCTCACCCACTTTCTCCTATTGTTAACATTTTATGTTAGTACAGTACATATGTCACAATGAAGGAACCAATATTGACACGTTGCTATTAACTCCATGGTATATATGGATTTCAATAATTTTCCCCTGGTATCCTTTTTCCATTCTAGGATCCCACTTTGGATACCTTATTACACTGAATTAGTAATGTAAGGGTTAAATTGTAGTGTTAGGGCTAACCTGTAGCCTTGAGAAATAACAGCTTTGTTTTAACACTGTAGGTTAAGAGATACCAGCCTTATCCTATCAATCAAGGGAACAAAAGTTCAAGGAAAATCAACTGGATTAGTGTTTGATTGGATTGGGGCAAAGGCATGTCGGAACTGTTTCCACCCCCATCTGGAAACTATTTCTTTGTTCTGTTCCCAGGTGATGATAAGACGATGTGGTGGACTATAAGAACTCTGTACACCGGCTGTTCGGGGCCGCACTCTGGTCGAGAGTGTCAGTCCTGATCGGTCTGCCTTGCCTCTCATTGCAATAAACTTTGTTGTGACTGTCACTGGTGCCCATAGCATTCTGTTTCAGGAGTCGTGTGGATGCAACAGTATGTCTCCTTTCTCTGGTCTGTGGCAGTTTCTCAGGCTTTCCTTGTTTATGATGACCTTGACAGTTTTGAAGAGTACTAGTCAAGTATTTTGTAGAATATCTGGAAAACTTTTAAAAATACAGACACTCAAATTCCATCCTTCAAGATTCTGATTTAAATAGCTTGATGTAGAGCTAAAACATCAGTTGTTTTTTTTTTTTCTTTTTAAGTTTCTTGGTTAATTCTACTAGGCAGCCAGGGTTGAACAACTATCATGTTGAGTTCCACATGGTCTTGCATATATTGAGATTATTGCCAACTTTCTAGACAAGAACAAGATTTTTATAAGTGGTAAAAATAAAGAGACATAAATATATAAGTATGGGACAAAAAAGAGGCATTAAAAATATTTTAGGACCATAATAATTCATATTAGCTTCTTTCAGAAGGCTGTTAATTTTTTTTTTTTTCCTTTTAGAAAAGTCAAATGGAGGGGCGCCTGGGTGGCTCAGTCAGTTAAAGTGTCCGACTACGACTCAGGTCATGATGTCTCAGTTTGCGAGTTTGAGCCCCACGTCAGACTCTGTGTAGACAGCTCAGAGCCTAGAGCCTGCTTTGGATTCTGTGTCTCCCCCTCTCTCTGCCCCTCCCTGCTTGCACTCTCTCTCTCTCTCAAAAACAAATAAACATTAAAAAATTTAAAAAAAGAAAAGTCAAACGGCTGTGGAAAATTGTAGAATACTTAGCAAATTGCAGGATGTGAAGCACGTCTAAATGTAGCATAAACTGAGCCTTTAAAAGATTATAAATTGTGTAAATTTTTAATTGTGTAAATATGTTAATTGATTATGTGAATGTGTAGATAGACTTTATTACATTTTTTATAATTTCTAATCCATAATGCAGAAACCATTTTTTAATGTTTACTTATTTATTTTTGAGAGAGAAAGACGGAGAGAACGCGTGCACAAGTGGAGGAAGGGCAGAGAGAGAGAGGGAGACACAGAATCCGAAGTAGCTCTGGGCTCTGAGCTTTGAGCACAGAGCCTGACTCAGGGCTCAAACCCACAAACCTGTGAGATCATGACCTGAGCTGAAGTCAGACACTTAACTGACTAAAGCCATCCAGGCACTCCAGAAACCACTTTTTTAAATGGCATGCTAGTAACAGGAAGAATAGTAAATGTAATAGCTCCTAGTGAAAAGGGTAGATAGGACTTACTGGGGCCATTTTCAAACTGAGGAAAATGAAGCACAGAGAAACAACTTAATCCCTTTGAAAGAAAGGGTCAGTTTCACAATCAGAGCTAGATCTCAGTTCCTGGATCCTTATCTTTTGCTCTCCAGCAACTACATATCCCTTCAGGTTAATTCTGTTTAAAGTGAAATACTATAGATATGTAACTTTAATTGTCAAAAGTTAACTTTTCTTAAATGTTACATTGGTATTATTCAGGCCATTTAAGGTTAACCCAAAAGAAAAGCAGTTAAACTGGGATCTTCTCTTAGTCAACAAGTATTTGTGTAGGCCCTATGCTTGGTGATAAGAACAGCAGAGAGGAACAAGAGAGGTCTCCAGTCTCAAAGATACTTAGAATAAAGAGTAGTTAGGGGAAAGAGCACTGAATTTGAGGTCAGACTTACTGGCTGTGTTTTCTCAGGCAAATTAGGAATCAATATAGGATGGTAGTTAAGAAGTCGGCTCTGGTGCTACATTTCCTATATTTGAACCCCTGACTCTCCCATGCACTAAATGTGGGGATCGTGGGCAAGTGGCTTAATAGTCCCATGCCTCAGATATGTGCTTCATCCATAATGTAAATGTTCTTTAAGAATTTTTGTTTCTGCATTAAAGGACTAGAAAAACACACATGATGGATGAAACTCATAAGAAATGTTAACTATAGATAGTAAGTATGTCATAGACCTATAGGACATGCTAAACATAGAATAGACATTTATGTGTTAAACACATTAAGAGAATGAAAAAAATGAGTGTTACTTGTAGATAGAAAGAGATGGAAAGCAAAATAAGCCTTAAATACTCATAAAGCATGGATCAGCTTTATCTACCTCAAATTGGCCACCCATTGGTATCATCCATTCTAGCCCACTTGCCCTCTGCTTAAAATACATACCATTGCTCATAAGGTCATCACAGAGCTATAACTGCAGCTGTGTATATTTGCCTCTTCTTCTCTCCAATAGAGCAAACATCTGGCACCACAGATCTTCCATCTCTAAACTTTCTTGCCTGCCCTTGACTCTGGTCCTTGTAACAACACCATCTGTGATAAAGAAAGGTGATGTAAAGAGAGTCAGGACACAGGAACTTTGAGCAAACTACAGGCCATGCGG